CAAATATAGTCAACAAAAATGATTCTCTGCATCAAGCTTAGCTTACGATAATCAATATATCCAGTAGATATTTTACCCAAAAACAGATTTAAATTCAGTGAGTTGGAATTGTGATTTATCATAGCATCCGTTTTATATTTATTCTTTAATGCCTAGCTAACACAGACTCAGCTCGTTAACTAATCCTACACATTCCAAGGCACACAAAGTGATGATAACTATGAGTGAAAGGAAATTTTAAAAAATGGAGTAAGTGGAGTGGCGAGTAATGAAAGCCAAGCAAAAATCTGGAAGTTTTTTTTTTTCCAACGAGTCCCAAACAAACCAACAGTTCCATATAACAACTCCTACTAAAAACTCGATGAAGGCAGTCCAGGCAGAAGGGCAACACAATGCAGGCAAGTGTGAGACGCTTAATATAAGGACTAACGTCAGCCTACAAATATACTGCTTATAAAGTTGTCTTTTTTATTTAGCTCAGACAAATATTCTGCTAAAATATTTATGTAACATTCACATAAAGAAAGACTTACTTGCGTCTCGTCTCGCATACTGACATGAGAATTTATTTGAACGGAGAGACAAAATTAAAACTGTAACCAGTCTGCTGCTATATGGACTCCCTCAGAACTGAAACCCTGCAATGTCACATGCGCACTGAGGTTTTAACCTAAAACAGGTATTAGACCAAACTATACTTACTCATGATAGTGGCTGACTGTCGAGAAAAATAACTGAATAGTTGGGACATCAACCATATAAAATAAGCGGTCAATTGGTTAATTGGCCTGCTGGCAGTACAACGCAAATCTTGAACATCTTCCACCAACCGATCAGCGACATTACTGCACATACAATTGGTGTCAGCCTCTCTCACTCTAAGCAGTATACAGCCTAAGTTAAAACGATCTGTAAACATCCATCTTGCACAGTCAACAACCTGCCATTCAGCACATTTGTCCAGGTTGCCAAGGCCAAGGGTTGTGTACTTTATGGTCACAATGGTACCCTATAAACAGTTCTAGGATGTCAGGAAACCATTTCAGTATTAGTGTAGTAGACAAAATAATGTGATTAAAAAGAGTCCCAGGATCCCTGTAAACACAAGAAGCTAACTGTGAAGCTGTTGTGGGTTTGAAGTGTGGGGGAAGGAGAGGGAGGATATCACGATGCAGTGTGAGGGGGTTTAATACCCATGTTTTAAGCAGCTAAAATCAATATTTTCATGATAAAAATAACTAAACACAATGTGAAAATGTTGTGAACAAGTAAAAGGTCGTAGTGATAAACTTCCTGAGAACTATCACCTGAATCTGCAGCTCCCCTCAGCTTTATAGCGAGTTTCAGATAATTGTTTAGCAGTCCAGTCCACAACTTTACTGTTTTGGTTCACTCTCATTGCGTCATTTTCAGCCACAACAGGCAGCTATTTTCAGTGAAAAAGCTCTAAAAAGACGCTGTACACTCCCTGGTCAGCACCAAATAGCAGACAGACAAGGTTAGCGACTAGCTGGTGAACACTGTGGACCATTCAGCAGCTAAAGAGTTGGTAGAGACCAAAAACAGAGCTAAAAGAGAGTGAAACATTGGACTGCAGAAACATGAATCCAAATGAATGATAATGTTGCTCCGCAACTGTTGAATGTAACTAAGCAACTGTTTGCTACCTAGCCAGTTACTGCAGGTTTAAAGAAGGGGTGGGTAACTGAAATCAATACCACAATATTTATGCAAATTTATATTTATGTGTGTGTGCATCAGTAATCAGTAATTTTCCTTGAACAAGGACAAAATGTTTATATGTCAGTGCAACATTTCTTGGCATGAGTCACTGTTTTGTTCCCTTGCAGTAAAAATAGCTTCAGTGTGTTTGCTTTTCTTGTGTTGACATTTTGGGATCCCATTTTCCAGCCTTCAGGGGATATGGTGAAATGTTGAAAAAGTTGCATACTTCAATACTTCTGAACAACAGTACTTCCTGTGTCATGTTACACTCAAATTCAACTGCATCATAATACCCTGGTAGTGATGACATGCTTAAGAGTGTTGTTTACATACTAAGAGATCTCAGCAAAAAGACAGAGGACTGGCAAAACACCCTGCCATAAGAGAAGAAGGGCCTCTTGTGACTTAATATCCAGTAGTTCACAAAGTTAGGAGGGGTTTGACATTGTGCCAGGGACTGGACACTGACAAATGGGGTTATGCTTGTATAAAACGTATCTAGACAGGAAGAAAGCACATCAACATACCTTCAACCGTTTGACCACCTCATCGTTGCTGATTTTGTCCGTAATTTCCTTCACTCCAGGAGGATAAATGACCTTTCCTTCCCCCGCCGGTTTCTGCTGTTGCGGGAACTCCATGCTTGTTGATGTAGGATCCGCACGGTCTTCTACTGGCCTCTATGGGTCAGAAAACAAAAGTTCAACACAACCATGCTACCGCACTTATCAAAACCTCGTTTTAAGCATCACTCTCATTTACCAACCATCTATTTTGCTCGCTAAAATTGATCACACCGTACCTGTATATTTAACGATCTTCTAAACCAGAATACTTTTCGGACAGAAAGCCAACATTAAACCAGATTTGTGCATATTATTAGCTTGCATGCTAAAACACCCCAGCTAAACATCAGCTCCATATTTAACGTGAATTTCTCATCAAACATCGCACAGCTACAGAAACAAGCTTACTGCTACTGCTATTCCGGTAACCTTACAGATATCTGAACCGCTAACTTGTTAGAAAACCACTTTAAAAATAACACGAGAGCAGCCGGTGTATGTCTACTGTCATACAGGTTATCACTTTAGCTAGCTAGCTAGTTGCAGTGCAAACATCATTGGCTAGCGGCTAGCATTTTGCGGGAAGGAAGTAATGTTAGCAGCGAGCTGCTAATAAACGTTAGCCGTGCTAGCTAACTGGTTAGCCTACTTTAGCCTAGGCCGCAAACTACTCAGGTACCCATCACATCTCCAGCTACAGACAATCACAGAGGAAGTGAAGTATCATATCATCTATGCCTAAAATCGCCATGCTCGTGGTCAGTTCCTGTGGTTTACAACAAATGCAACTACTTTGTGAAGTTTAAAAATGAAGCTAATTTACTTGTTACTGTCTTTTTTCAACTTCAACGCATCGCTCCGTACTGCCGCTAGTTTACAGGCGAAGAAGGGCTGCTACCGTCGCCCTGAGCCCTCCTCTCACACCACCAACTTGCCCCCACGGATGATTTTGAACACCCTAACAAATGCAAAATGAATCTATTTTCAAACACACAACTACGACCAAAACCGCAGGATATTTGTCAAGCGTCTCCTCGTTAGTATTTACCTCTCAAGTGGGCCGTTTTAATTCATTAGTCTGACACAGGTTGGGTTTAGTTTTCGGCACAAAGATCTCTGTCCGTTCAGTCAGCGCTGTCTGTGAAGGCTGGGTGCAGAGCGCCCCCCTCGGTCTCACAGCAGTACTGCAGCACCAAATACATGGCGGGAGTCAGACTCATTTCACTTTCTGTCCTTTTCCACCAGATGCGGGTTTATTTTTAAAATATCGGCCGTACTTGGCTTGTCAGCGTTTCTTTTGTTTGTTAATTAAATGTATTCACCGTGTTTGCCTATAAATTCACATACGAATAATATCTATTTTGTGATAAGCATGTAGAAAACTATTTGAAATATACTCCTACTACTAATAGGATATTCAATTCACTGGGGCTTTATAGGCATGGGATACAGATGTTTACATTGCTAAAGCAAATGTGAAATAGAAACACGTACATAAACAGAAGAATTATGCTATTTAAATATAAGTATATATGTAAAATAAGAAAAAATACCAATATGTATTATTATTATCATCATCATCATAATTGTAATAGTTATTGCCAGTGCAATATTTTAAAAGTCTAAAGTGATAGTCTGTTCTGTCTACACTTTTTGCTGCTACCAATACATTTATTGATATCGCCATTTCATCTTATCATCATTATTATTATTATGAATAAAGTGTTTCCGATTCTAATTATTATCATTTGTCGGACCTGGCAGTGAACTGCCAATTAACAATTGAGACAATGATTGAACACTACCCATTTCAAGAATGCTGCAGGCCATCTGATTCTGTCTAAATAAGCGAATTTTCTCCAAGGAACCTGGTTAACTAGTATTTTATCGTTTCAGTACCATCTGACATGATATGATGTTCAGTTGGTTATGTGCATTTGTGATACTGACCTTTAATAGGGACCAAGTTCCTAAATCATATAAGGTACTCAATATACTCAATATCTCACAATCCCCAATTTGCAATTTCTAAGAAGTACACTGGTATGTTATCAATATATGTATATACAATATAATATACGAGAAAATGTAGTGTTGTTGTTAAATAACAAAATTGTTCCTGCAACCAGTGTTAAAGTAGTTGGAATATGAATACAGCTTCCATTGAAATGTAGTTTAAAGTATACAAAGACCTAACCAAGTACAACCCCAGTACTGTACTTGAGTTTAATACTACTTTATACTTCTAATCCACTACATTTCAGAGAAAAATTGCAACAGTTTAAGCCAAATGTATCTGAAAGGGCAAGTTGCTAGTTTTTTAAAATAGATTATATATGCAATTGTATTAACTTATACAGCATCGAAATGCTGCTTATATGTGAATGTATCACTAATACTAATCCAGTATAATAAAATGACAATTTTACATTGACATATGATAAATATGAATGAAAGGACTGCAAATATGAGTAGGGCTACTTTCACTTTTAAATTAAAACCAATAATATTTCTGTACTTCTACTTGAGTAACTTAGGAGTTTAAATGCAGGACTTGCATTTGTAACAGAGTATTTTTCATACATAGCTAGTTAAATAAAAGCACCGACTAATCCACAGCGTTGCTCGGAAGGGCCTTTATGTGCCAGGGCCACCATTTATTTTGAAATTACCGTCTTAATTTCCGGTGTTGGCGGATTTGGTACCATTTACATTTCTTTCATGTGTTTCCACCACTTGGAGCGCTGTTAGCGATCGTAACCTTCAGTTGGTGGACGTTGGTTACACTACTCCACACTACAGTAGCATGTCCTCAGCTCCGTGTAGCCGCTAATGAGAGCAAACAGCGGCTACACCTCGGCCACGGAATGCCCCGGAGAAAGAAAAACGGCCAGAGCCCAGCCAGAGTCCCCAGCGGGCCGCCAGAGGGGGGGCGCCTTGGCCACAACACGGGTTATCGACAACCTCAGGGATTTGACGATGCAATGGCGAACAACTTTCCATCCAGCACCTCGCTCTCCAGCTCCGACAAAGAGAAAGTCGTCACAAGCATGCAGGAGATGTTCTCACACCTGGACCCCGAAGTTATATACATCGTGCTGTCCGAGTGTGATTTTAAAGGTAGCACTGAACACGGAAGCCCAGTTGTCTAAACTGCTGTGTTACTGTGACAGTTTAGTGTAACTTTGCTAACCAGTTAGCTAGGCAACTTGTTAGCAGAGTATTTACGGCAATGTTTACCACATGAGATTACTTCACAGCGGGGGGGTCCCATGTGTATATAATTGACAGTATCAGCAGTCATCTCAAACTGCATCTGGCATTTCTTGGTACACCAACGCACCCTCTTCCACCTGTTGTGCCTGTTTTAGATGAGTTACTAAGTTCACTTGCATAGCACCAGTAAGTATCACGAAGTGATCCTCAAGTCAGTAAAGCAGAATAGAAACAGAAATGGCAAACAAAACCCATCCCATGTCTGTACAAGGCATTTTCCATACACTTGTTTAAACTGCCTAAGCCATAAGGTACCTGCACTGCACTAATCTCAGCTATCATGTTTAAAAGTCAGGCGTATAAAGAGAAAAGGTGACAGTGGAGCTGTTCTGAAACTGAGTTGCTACTGAATGATTCCCATTACAGAAAATTAAAACAAGTTTCATTTTCAGTTATTTAAAAGTCTGAAAAATGCTGAAAGTAGGCCAAGTTGTGTAAGAGCACTTATCCAGAGGGCCCCCTAGTGTCCTTAACTCCTAAATCACCAACTGTGATGTTGTTATTCTTGTCATTGTAATGCTATGCATGCAATTGTATTCATTGTTGGTGTGTGGTGCTGATAGCATTGCTGTGGTATGGCTTGTTATCATACCAGCAACAGCATTCCCCCTCCCAGTCATTAGTCATTCCTCAGTCTCTACCCAGAATTGTAAAGGTTATATATAGTGAAACTAACTGACACACTGCTTTTTCTTGGTGTCTGTGTTTTCTCTGTTTGTGTTCTAGTTGAAAACGCAATGGACTCTCTCTTGGAGCTGTCTGTGGCAGCCGAAGATGCAGGCCCTATACCTTCGCCTGTCTCTGGCTTTGCGCGCACTGCTGCAGCCCTGCTCAACCCACACCACTTTTCTGAACCTAGAACAGACCAGGACTCTTCCAAAGTATCACAGATGCCCTCCTCTCTTCCCTCCACCAACCTCCTGACAGATGAGCTGGACCTGCTAGTTGATCAAGAGTTAGAGACACTAACTGCACGACAAGACGTGAAGGAAGAGCAGCACAGCAGCCAGTTTTTATCCTCTTTCCCTCCACCGCCATTTCCACAGCAGGTCCTCCCTGAGCTGCTTCAGTCCAGCCTGCACCCTGGATCTAGAGGGCCCTCTGTTGAGCAGCAAGGCCCAGTGGGAGGCCTGGTGGAGCATATTTCTGGAGCTTCCTCTCCGCTCGACCAGCTCAGCACATGGGAAGAAGAGATCGATGAGAAGCAGCAGTCTTTGGTGGATTTCACACATCTGATGAAAGACACGCCTGCAGACAAGCCGAAACCTCCTTTGGACCTGGCAGCTTCAGGACGTCCCTCGGCTTTCCAGGTGTATAAAAAGCAAGACCCATCACACACCCTTTCAGACAAGTCTGGGGTCATGCCTGCGAAAACAATTATCGGAGGAGCAAGATCTAAGGTGAACATGTTCAATCAGGAGCCGCTTGGCCACATGCCAACACACTGGAACTTGGGGGCACCAGTGTTTTCTCCCTGCATCCAAGGAAACCAGGGACCAGCATTCATTACTCCTGTGGCTCAAACGCCCATCTGGCCCAGCCAACCCAGGCATGCCTCTCCCTGGCTGAGTCAGGCCCCTGTTGGCCAAGCACCTCTCAGACCCTGTGCTACTATTCTGAAGTCCTGGGCCATGCCTGCTGCTCCACAACCTCCTGCCCAGTACAGCAGGCTTCGTTTGCAAGGGAGGGTCCTTGTGCTGCTACGTGGTGCTCCAGGATCTGGCAAGTCAACTTTGGCAAGGTAAGAATGTTTGGAGACTCTAATAAGCACTCTTGGACTCTTCTAGAGTCCAAGAGTGCAGTTTGCATTACAGCTACAGCCAGAGGAGGGGAGATGTGCCAGTAATGCCAGAATTCAGAAACAAACAGTAATTGGAAAATAGTAATTTGATTTACAGATATACTGATACTAAATTTGTTTTTAACAAGCAAATAAATCACACACACACTACAAAAAATAAGATTGTACGCTTTTGTTTTGTTGATTCGTTATTGAGCTTTTGGGAGTGATTTTAAAAGTTCTCTTTTGACATACAAACCATTACATGACCAGGCACCTCTTACCACTGTGAGGGTCTTCAGGTCTTTAGGGAAAGGACTTCTGGCTCTGCCAAGGTGAAGGCTGCACCTCCTTTAAAAAGCACCACATTTGCTTTGGCTTTATAACATTTACTTTTACACTCCCTTCTTCCCGTAACTTGTGCAAATACATATTTCAGGAAAATGTTGCTGAGATTGAGTAGTGTTATAAATTCAGACAGTCTGGGAAAGTAGATATGTTTACAATTTAAAATTACTGTGTCACAAGAAATGTTGTTGTCTTCAGGCATGTTTCTTTTGGTTGTTGTAGAATGAAAAGAGTCTGCCGTTGTGTGAAGCGCTGTAGCCCCAGTTCAAATTGGATATGTTTGAATCTGGTTATTGGCTTGACTGATAGGTACTAACAAGATCTCCTTATCTCAATATAAATAGATCAGTGGTGAGAAGATGATTAGCCTCAACTTAATAAAAAAAGTAGTTTTCTATCAAGATGGCAGTGGTACATTTCGCTGTTGCCCAAGAGTCATGTCAGTAGTCACTTTTACTACTACAATTACAACATGTGTTACATCACTTTAAAGCTGCGTGTGTGTGTGTGTGTGTGTGACTGACTGTGTCTGCAGAGCCTTGTTAGAGCATAATCCAGGGGGGGTTAAACTGAGCACTGACGACTATTTCACTCAGCATGGACAATATCAGTTTGACCCCTATGCTCTGGGGGAGGCCCATGAGTGGAACCATAAACGAGGTAAATGACACAAACACAGCTTTGATAAACAGTGATGCAGGCGAAGCAAGTCAAAATTCTTATGCAACCTTAAAATATGTTTCATCTATGCAAGGGGTTTTCAAAGTCTGAGACTGCAGGCCTCTCCTCAGACAAAGCTGGATCTCTGAACTCTCACACATGTAGGCTATTCTATGTGATCTCCTTTTGATAACTAATGCAATAAGTAATGTAATATTGTTTCATTCCCATTCAGTGAGCCTCCCCTGAAACTGTTTGGAGCCCCACTAGGGAGGCCCGCCTCACACTTTGAAAACCCCTAATCTATGCCATTGTTTCCCTTTTTTTAAATGCCCAACCCAATTTGCACTAAACAACAAATGTTTTGTTTCTCTTGTACTGTTTCTCTTATTCCATAGCCAAGGATGCTTTTGAAAGAGGCGCTAACCCCATCATCATTGACAATACCAACATGCAGGGCTGGGAGATGAGACCATATGTGGTTCAGGTCAGTCAGCTTGTCTGCAATACTAAGAAATCAACAAGCACTTCATTGTCGCAATGGTACCTTAACAGCGTGCCCCCACCATTGTAACTCGTTGCATTGTTTTAACTCAGGGCTGATTTTAGTCAACTTAGAGAATACCTGTTAGACTACACTTTTGTCTTATACTGTACCTCTGCATGTATTAACAGTGACAGACGCATTGTTTCTAAAACAAATATAACGTGGGATTACATAACATTTGAGGAATAGCTGTTTAAATATGTTGCTGGACATAAAAGTACATAAAACTTTGTTATGAACCACAAAAAATGGTTGGCCGCCCTATCCGTGCTAGGCACTGAAATATGGATACAAGGTGCTGTTCCGGGAGCCGGACACTTGGTGGAAGAACAAGCCCAGAGAATTGGAGAGGTGAGGAGGTTAATGTAGAATGTCAGCTAAATGAAGCTAAATGCTGTTGGATACAGTTTTATATATTCCAGTTTTGTGTCTTGTATCTGTTTGTGTGTGTCCATATGCACATATAGACGTACCTCACATAATGTGCCAGTGGATAAAATCCGACGCATGCTTAATGGATACGAACGCTTCATCACAGTCCAGTCCATCATGGGTTCACAGATGCCTGAGTCGAAACAGCACCTCGTTCTGGAGAACAGAAGCTCACAGTGAGTTTTACCCACAAACAATTAGACATTTGCTTTAACGATGTATTATCTTGCATTTGGATAAAGAAGACCCTGTTGTGATTCACATGACATGGACATGAGCCTAATTTAAAGGGGGACCTATTGTGCTTTTACTTATTTTCTATCACATATATTAATGTCACAATGTTAGATGTTTTAACTAAGTGTGGCCAAAATAAATAATGAAGTAAATGTGTAAAAGTAATCCCTGTGAGCAAAAAGATCTGGCTTCAGACTGCTCTTAATACTAGGTTTTCAACGGTTTCTTCTACTACTCTTAACGTTTTTGGAGGTTGTTCAGTATGTCTAGCAGAAAGTGAAACAGCTAATCAATTAATTGAGAAAATAATCGACAATGAAAATATTCGGTAGTTGCAGCCCTGCCCCGAGCAGACTTGCCAGGCCAAGCGTATCTAGTACCAACACCGGCTCCCCGAAACCCTCCACTCCAGCGTTGTCTAACCTTTTTCCATCCTAATTAGTGTCTCGTCTGATAAACAGCAAATAAATCAAATTCAGGCAGTATTTTCCAAGATGAGTTAAAGCTGTCAATGTCGAGAACAGTGGCATGAGTATGAGGCGGTGCGGGCTCACAGCACTGGGTGTAAAGATAACTATTTGACATAGTGGCAATACCTCGGAATTACAACTTCCATTGTTGGTAAAATAAATGAAAGTGTACATTTATATACATCTAATGAACATGAATCATCCAAATCACTGGGCTAAATCAGGTACAATATTGACATTGTGCACCCATCTTTAGTTTAGTTAACTGTGCCATTCATATCTCTCGTTTTCTTTAGGCTGGTGTCTTCTGAAACAACTCGTCCTGACCTTGTAGGGCTGCCTGGATTGACAATGGGCTGTAAGAAATCCCACCCTCAGCTGTTTTCCTCCCTCCCTGACGTGTCATCTATTGCTAGTCCTAGTGAGGTGGGAATGCAGGAAGATGGCACCCACAACTCTACGGAGTCCCTCAATTTCCAGCCTACTGGAAGACTTACGGATAACCCTGAAATGTCCGATGGAGAAAATGACATGGATTTGGGGGAATTAGATTCTGAGTTGGACGCCCAGTTAGAGCTGAATCATCCAATAGGAGATCAGAGAATCCCAGACTGTATTGTGGAATCAGTGATGAGCGAAGATCATCGCGGGGATGAAATGCCCGTGGCTTTCTTTGAGTCTATTGGACAAAGAGTGAGGAGAGAGAGGCCAAGCAGGAGATCTGGTTTTGACAGGTTGGAGCCTGCCGATCTGGTGAAAGATACTAACCAATCAGACAGCAAGGCACAGGAGAAAGAAAGAACAGAGGAAGAGCAGGCAGAAGGATTTGCGATGGTGAGGGATGGGGAAGAGAAGGGAAGGCCTAAGATGTTTGATTTTGTTGGAGATTGGCCTTCTGAAGGGTCCCTCGACCAGCGACAGGTGAGGACAAGAGAAAGGCATAAAGAAAGAAATGGGAAGGAAGATAAAGGTGTGTTTCAAGAAGCTAATGAAACAAAAGTGCAGTCAGGACCCAGTGTAACAGAGTTTCAGAAGCTTCTTGATCTTATTCAGACGGGGGCAGCTGTCGTTCAGACTGGTTCTTCCCGTCCGTCCTCCCTTTCCCTGAGCTCTGTAGAGGAATTGAAGAAAGAAGAGGTGGCAGATGGCAGTTTTGAGGAGTCCCATGGCAGTAGATCTAACAGTGAGGAGAGGGAACGAAATATAAACAGGGTAAACAGTAACAGAGGCGAATTACCTGACTGTGTGTTAGAATGGAAGGCAGGTGACTCTTGTAAGGTCAGGGAATTGAGAATTGATAATTGGGAAGGATTTAAAACTGAAAATGAAAGTACTATCGCAGGAGGGAATGGGATGTTGGAGATTGACAGGAAAACAGAGTCTGTGGATTTGAGATCAAACAGCCCAGCAAATCAATTCTCAGCTCTGCCTGTTAATCCACTAGTTGTCTCCCAAAGTTTGGCGGTAAGTGTTTGTCACGATGGAGTGGGAAGCCCCAGTACTGAAGGTGCGGTTGGTACAGAGTCTGGTGCTGGTCATACTGATATGGACATAAATAACTGCACAGAAAATGACAGAGAGACTAGACTTGAGGAAGATGGCAGTCATGTTAGTGAGGTGTGTCCAAGTCCTGTGTGTGAGGGCTCTGTGGAAGCAGAAAGCAGTGCTTTCAGTGGAGGCAGTCAGGAGAGAAAGCAGCGTCAGGGTCGTAGATCGGGGAAACAGTGTAAACTAGCTCTCACCTTTACTCAAAACTGCCCTGTTTCTTCCCAGAATACAGTTGAATGTCCCAATGCCACTGCTCAAAATGTAAACAGTAGTCAGAATAGCATTGGCACAGATGTTGAACCTAACTGTAACACCAGCATTAGCCTCAAACCAAACTTTGACTCGTTCACCGAGTCCAAATCTGAGGCGCACCTGCAGCCTCCTTCCCCACTTCCTCTGGTGAACACCGGCAGCCCCACCCAGACAGAACCTCAAGACTTTGCCCTCCTCTGGCGTCTCAATCGTCACGACTGCTTTGATGAAGCAGGCGTCATTGCGTGCGCCCTCCCTACTGACTTCACAGTTCTGTCTGGAGACTCTTCTCGGTTCGTGCCGGAGCTGTCCTCTGCTGTTTCTGCAGCGGTTGCAGTTCATCCATCTAGCCAAAGAGAGGTACCCTACCGCGTGGTGCATGAGAAAGGCACACAGGTGGAGGAGAAAGAGCTCGGGGCAACTCAAGACCGTCTTGGGAGCCTGCGCATTCTCAGACGCCATTTTAAACTGGTTAGTTTTGATACATTAGAAGATCTGTATGACAAATGCCATCAGGACCTAGAATGGACCACCAACCTGCTGCTGGACTCTGGAGAGAGGTTCTTCAGAGATGAGGATGGTGAGAAAGAGGAGGAGGATGTTGCTGGGGGTGAAGATAACAACACATCCAGTCTGTGTGGAGCTTTAGGCAAGGATTCAGAAACCAGGTTGTGTCCTACTGTGTTAGATGAGCATCACCCTGAAGAATGGCCAACTGGGTTTGTGGAGGGGACGCGGCAGTCAACCTTTGGGACAGTTAGCGGGTCAGATGAGATCTCCAATAATACTGATCTGCAAAGTTTAGAAGGTGCAGCTGTTACAGTTAGAAACAAGGATCATCCTGATACAACCTCACTCTTAGAAAAGTCTCCTCGAACAGAACCTAGTCTGCCTCAAGCAGTAGATGAAGGAGAGAGCTGTGGGGACACTGAACACAAAGGTACATCAGAAGCTAACCTAGAAGGCGCCGCTTGGGTTGGAAACTTTGATGATAGAGTAATAATCGAAGAGTCAAGAGTTGAGACTGAGGAGGAGAATGCTAGCATGGACGAGGTTTACCGGCTGCTGCAGGCTGAGCTAGATGAGCTGGAGAGAGAGGAAAAGCAGCAGCAGAAGGAGGAGGAGAAGTCTGAAAGGAAGCAGAGAAGGAGGCAACACCTGGACATTAAGAGTGTGGAGCTGAAACTGCCTACTGAGCTGGCACTACAGCTAACTGAACTGTTTGGTCCTGTCGGAGTAGACCCAGGTAACTAAAACACAGGTGTCACACTGAAAAATTACCTTTTCAACTACTATATTTATACTCAAATAACAATGCAGGTCCCAAGGCTTCAGTATGCTTCAAATTAATTAGGTCACATGATGTATTGCCTATTCATATACAAAAGCAAAAGTATTTATAACTGTTCTTACAGGCCACATGGCTCCAGACTTTTTCTGCTAGTAGCGATGGTGCTCCCTGCTGAAAGTTTTTAGAGTAGCAGCACAAAATGTAGGGGCACCACTTTAATGGACATGCAATGCCCGAGGGCCCTAAGCAAAATTCTGCAAAGTGGTCCTCCTCCCTGACCCGTGAGTCATGTTAGCAATTTGCCATTGCCACACAGTCACACCTGACACCACAGTGCTCCCACTACTATCCTCCCTCTGGAACAGTTTGGTCCATCTATCGGTCTAAGAATAAGTTGATCTATACAGAACAGAATGAGGTATAAACAAACAATATTTATACAGAATATACTCTATAGAATTGTATGATAAGTGAATATTAACATAAAATTTTAAAAATGTAGAAAATAATAATATAATGTGTACCTGAATAATATTCAGGTACATGCTCCACTGATGACTATGCAGTGCAGATGGACCTGAACCTGGCTAAACTGCTCCACCAGAAGTGGAAGGAAACCATTCAGGTGAGCTCTTTCAAAGGCGCCTATAAATAAAACAATTCATCAAATGACGGTGTGAAAGGGATCGCTTGTAATGATTAACCTGCAGAAAAAATCAAACGCATACAGTTGGTGAACATTGTGTAACATAGCTACATTTAGCTGCTAAAAAGCCAGATATTCCCCTCAGGGGTGTTGCAGACAAAAAACAGAGTTAAAATTAGTCAAATTACTAAATGTATCAACTTAAAAGGGGATGATATGTCAGATCTGCATTCACAACTTGTTTCCGCTGCCCCTAGGTGGCTGGTTTAATACATACACTTACAACACTGAATTCACCCTACCTATATTTGGGAAAGGAGTCTAAATCGCCTTTAATTCCTTTACCATACTGCTGAATCTGAATGAATAATACTTTGGTGCTCATTGATTTTCATAAAATGAAATCAACAATTGAATTGTTGAGAATCTAACCAATCTTACGATGTGTAGCATTTCTATATTGAAAAAAGTTTAAACATTTATATTTATTTATATGCACCTTAGAAGTAGCAGGTGACCCGGTGGTCTTCAAGAGATTTTATACATCCAAAGAACTCCCATAAAAACCAGATCAGGCTTCTAATTGGCCTGGATTTGTCCAAACATGTAGCCACACCAGGCCAGTAAAAGGGACAGGTGTCTCATCTTTTAATTTAAGCTTTACGGTATTTGGCAACAGTACTTTACCAGCATTAGTTCTATCCGTGCAATTTTATAAATCTACCCTGATATTCTGATTTACTGTAGGGTGAATCTGAGTGGGTCTGTGTTTTTTAATTTGACTTAATATTATATTTTACAGGAAAAGCAGAGACAAGCAACTCTGTCCTTTCACTTGCTTCAGGAAAGTAAGTTCACACACACACACATATACAGACGTACACATTAATCTCAAGCACAGTCTCAATACTGTTGTTTCATTCTGAATCTGTTTCATCCCTATGTTTGTTTATTTGTTTTAGAATTCAAAAGCCTAATGGGGGCTGCAATTAAGATTCAGAAAGATGCCCCATATCAATATCAGTAAATATATATCAGTTGTATGTTCGTATGTAACATCATTGGTTATTCCCCACAGAATGACAGTCTGCGGGGGCGGGGGCGGGGGGTCGTTGTTGGAGTTTGAGGGGTATATTTCAAGTAGCCTGGGTTTATTTTTTATTTAACCATTTTAATTATACTTAATTATCAACCTTATTACTTTACTCACTAGCCTACTCCAGTCTGCTCTCTTTTTCCCCATACACCTCTGCTGCAGATACAGCGCCGTGCCCTGCCTCTTTCTGTATCCGTCTGCTCTGTTGACATTCTCCATCAGCAGTTGGTCATGTTTTATAAAGTTGGCAAAAAGACACAGAAGTCGTCTTTTGGATTGAAACAAACGTGGTACCAAATGGCATCTGCACTGCTGTGTTCACTGTCGCTTCACCTTCCGTGCTTGTAAAATATCCTCCGTGTCTTACAACGCCCAAGTAAAGTCTATGAGTGGGAAACACTGTCTTTAACAGACATAACAACATAATTTTGTTTGACAACTATTATATGTCGACCTTTGAATGTGTAGGTTCAGCACATTGGGGTGAGTCACAGGTGGCCAAGCCTGGGTCACATGACTGGACACAGCCAGCACGTTTCCTGATTAGTGCAGATGGTTACGCGTCACTGGGCAGCCAACCAGAGGCCCATGGTCAGATACCATTAATGGACCACTGGAAAGTGTCACGCCAACATGTCTCTCTCAGGGATATTATTAAAGAGGAGCAGGCTTTGCAGGAGAATGTGGAAAAGGTAACACACATATCTAATGTACCTGCAGATGTTTTGCAGACAGTATTTTCTGTCATACAAACATCTTGAACAATATTATCCTGGTTTGTTGTTCTCTTTTGCCCACATCCAAAACCCTTTCCAACCTTCCTACTTTCAGACCAGGCAGAGTCGCGCAGACCTTGACCTGCGCGACGGAGCCGTCCTGTTGAAAGAGAACCAGCTGTACTCCCTTTTCCCCACCATTGACAGGCATTTTCTCCAAGACATCTTTAGAGACCACAAGTGAGAAAACAACTTTGAGGCCTTAATCAAACAAAAATGTGTCCATCTGATGTGTTGAAGCACTGTTCTATACTCATGACAAACTTGCATATGTGTTTATCTTTGCGTAGTTACAGCCTGAGCCAGACAGAGCTGTTTCTTCGCTCTCTATTGGACGAGCAGCCTGTCAAGACAGTGGTTGCACCAGAGGCACCTCAGCCTGACCACCACAGAGCAGCCAGCAGGGAGAGGGAAAAGGTATTCATAAACACAGGCAGAGAGAGAAACAAATAGTGGATTAGAACAAATGTATACATCTATTTCACGTTTAACACGGGTGTACTTTTAGTCTCATTTATAATTTATATCTCTTGATCTATGCATCTTTATTTGGAAACAACATTGTTTCAGTATCGCTACAAACTGCATCTGAGAGAGACCATATAACAATATATAATGTCACAGATTACTTTTTCCACCCTTAATTAGCTGTCTTTATCACCGCTTTGTGTTTATTTGACAGAAGCAGAAGCCCCAACCCGACTATCAGGATACGGAGGACCCAGAGTACGAGGACTTCAGGGCGGAGGCAGGCTTACAGAGGAGCCGACAGCTTGAGAGTTTTGCCAAGGCTGCTGAGGCCTTTAAGCAAGGGCGCAAAGAAGTGGCCTCATTTTACGCACAGCAGGTGAGGAGCTAAATGTTTTATGTGTTTTTAATTAATAACTTTTGCCCAACTGGGTGGGGGAAATTGTTTGTTAAGAAAATGCATCTCTTCTTTTACATTATATTCTCCATTCACAGTAAATTCATTTACATTACCTCTTTCGTAGGGACACCTGCATGGCAGGCGGATGCGCGAGGCCAATCACCGTGCAGCAGTTCAGATTTTTGAGAGGGTCAACTCATCGCTGCTGCCCAGCAACATCCTGGACCTCCATGGGCTGCATGTAGATGAGGCCCTGGAGCATCTGGCCCAGGTCTTACAGGACAAAACCACAGGTAATGAACAATAAACTGTACTGTGTACACCGGGCATATGTGCAGATGAAACTGAAAAGTTTGGGATCTTAATGTTATACATCTACATTCTAGGTCAGTGTATGTAACAATATAATGTATATATTTCAAGTTATAGATAGGGGTAAAATGAATTAGTTTGAGGTGGGCTGCAGGGTAAATAAACAGGAGAAAATACAGAAATTACCATAGGGCTGGGAAATATGACCAAAAATGTTAAAAGATAAAAGAAATCATATAATTTGATGTCAAATCATTATTTCTTTCAAGTTTAAACTATTCTTAATGGTCAGAAAATGTTTTTTTTAAAGACTTGATGCCAAACAGTGGATCACTTAAAAAAATCTGAGGTAGAACATTCAAAACAATTTATGATGAGGAAATGAGGAAAATTAAGTAAAATCTTTTTTTCAGTCCCTTTTCCTCAACAAAATAATTATCTTAATAGAAAAATAAAGTCCTAATTTGTTCGTAATTCAAATGAATTCAATCAAATTATTGAACATTTCTTATATTGTTATTGTGGAAAATTTGTTTATTGTCCTGCCCTAAATGACCATTGTATATTATAAAGCATACCATATTACACTAAGTAAGAAAATATTTTGTTATATGGGCCATGTATGAACAAATGTATATAGACTACATAAATATATTTTATTTATAAAAATATCTGTCAGTACTAATCACTTAGATCATGTTTTGCAAAACTTGTGTGTACTTTTTGGTAGCAGACTTCTAAATCAGTTATCAGTTCAGAATCATATTTATAAACAATTCTCATTAAAAAGAAATTGGTAAAGGTCATGAAGGACCAAGCTAATAAAACAATGTTGTGTATTTTTTTTAACAACTGTTTAAGAGGGCCCCCGAATAATGATTTTGAGTCTTACATTAACAGGTTGGGACGGTTCGGTTCCTGAGCTGTGTGGGTTTGCGTAACAATTTTGCGGCTTAAATCTAGACTCCAACTAGGGGCGACTGTTACAAGTCGTACATCTATATCATGTGAGGGATCAGAACATCTAACAAGTACGCTCACAGACATTTGTGTTCCTGCCCCTCTCAAAGCGTGCGCTTGCTGCTCCTGTTAACTGTTTTCTGCATGTGTGTGTTTTTGTTCTTCTTTGGCCTCTTTCTGTGTAGACTGTGAGCAGGGTCTCTGTCGACCTCAGCTCTCTGTCATCACAGGAAGAGGGAACCACAGCCAGGGGGGCGTGGCCCGCATCCGCCCTGCCGTTATAGACTACCTCACCAGCAAACACTACAGGTATACACATCTACCTACATACATACACATACACATACACATACACATACATACACACACACACACTCACACGCACGCACGCGCGCACTTTAACATACAACATGTTCGTCACCCACCTTTTCTCCTATCACTATCTCTCAGGTTTACTGAACCAAAGCCAGGTCTCGTGTTGGTCTCTTTGAAGTGAGAAGAACCTGGTTTATTGGATTCAAGCTGCTATAGAGGACAACACACACTCACTACACTTCTATAATGCCACATATATAATTATTACATTATATATACAATATGTCACACTCAACCTTATAGTTTCTTTCTTCTGTCAGTCAGTTTCTGGTACTTTTTTTCTACACAGGCCTCTTGTCTTTTTTCCTCCATCAGTTATATAGCTGCCTAGCTACTTGGTTAAATTGGGGTTAATTTTAGTTAAGATCCCAATCTTAATTCAGATCTTAATGAGTCATTTTTTGTGTGTTTTATAAAAAATAACTGCATTGGCGTGAAACACAATTAAGGGCTTTGTACCCATCTGTAAAGCTAGAATGTGTGTACATTTTATATTGGAAAATGTTTTATAGTGTAGTGTATTTTGCTTTTTAAAGAGTATGAACAGTGCATTTGTTTTGCAGGCTCCATGTTGAATAAGGTGTTAGTAAATCTTCAGATTATTAAATAACTTGTGTTCAAGACATAATGTTAGGATTTTATGAAACTTTAATTAAATCATGAGTGGATGCTGTCTGCTTGGAGGTAATATATCATCCTTTTTCGAGACACAATTCATGAGTTTTATTTGACACAGACTAAATTTAATGTATGCCATCTAGATCCAAGTTATTACAAAACCAAATGCTTAAAAAGAAAATTATTGATTTCTGTTGGTTGTGAGCGTCTTGCTCACCAGGAGGTGAGCCTGAAACTCTTCAGATAATCAAAAGGCTGTTAAAGAGGTTGAACAACCTCATTAAATAGTGTGAACACCCCGTACTGTGAGTTCTGCAGCAATCAGTGTCCTTTGCCTTAGCAGCTGCCTCAGCAACACACTGCAACTGTTCTGTTAGTTTGGCTTAAGGCCGAGATTAGCTGCTAATATATAGATATTCAAACTCAGGTAAATATTTAATAATGCTTATTTTCTTTCAAGGCCAGTCGATTGTTCCCAGCCTGTTCCTTGTAGCTTTTTTGCAACCTATTGTGCCAAATCTTGTAGCAGTTGTAATCCTCAGGTTGCTCCACTATTTTTGTAGGATTAAAATTGCTTCTGTTTTTCTGTCTGTTCGATAGTTTTCACAAAGTTACAACAAAAATGTTGGCAAATTTTACCAATTGTACATAATGTTGTGAACACATGAATTATTAAAAAAAAATAATTATTTTTTTATTCATTTGTTTAAATGGTTTTACAGAGAATATGCTATTGTGAAATAAAATCCTATTTGTACAGTTTTGGACATGTGCGGGTTTAAATACAATATTTATTTTGTGTGAATGTATAGCTAATAGTTATATAGGACCAATGTATAATTTTCATACCATAATTTACAAATTTATTCACATCTATAACTGGAAAGTCTGTATTTTACAGAAAAGCAGATTTTTTACTTCAACAGATGACAGTGGAAAAAATAACCATGATAGTTCTGTAAAAAAAAACAAAAAAAACTGCACCTTGATTACCGTGATTAATGATATCACGTATATTGTGATTTTTTGGTAATGTGGTAATGATGCAAACAAATGGATAGTATATTGCATGATTTTTGATGTGGACAATTTCTGTATAAAGCCAGATTTAAGCTCTCTGCATGATATTTGATTGGACTTCAGATGTTTAGTAAATTCTGGGAACTCAAATATTGCTATTCATCCTTTATTAGTTCAAGGCTAGATTATTGCAACACTCTTTATGTTGGTCTAAGTCAAACATCCATCCAACTTGTGCAAAATGCTACTGCTCGCTTTTTAACAAATACATCTTGAAGTGCACACATCTCTCCCGTTCTATTAACACTATACTGGCTTCTGTTGCGTTTTAGAATCGATTTCAAGATTTTACTGTTTTTAAAGCCTTCAGTGGCCTAGCCCCGGAGTATTTGTCCGAGATTTTAACTTTGGGTGGGCAAAATCGGCTTTTGCGGTCTTTGGAAGTACAGAGGTCGAGGTTTGCTGCCCCAAAACTCTGGAACAAGCTCCCTCCTGTCATTCACATTACAACGAATGTAGTTCATTTTAAATTGCAATGGCTTTTAATACACAGTAGTGGTACAACAACTTCCCTCTTTTGATGTTTTTAGGTAACCTTATCTGGCTTACAGTTTTCTATGCTTCATGTCTTTTTATTTTCTTTTATTGAATGCTGAGTTGTTAACTTTTGGTTGATGTAAAGCATTTGACACCTGTTGGTTGCTGTAAATTGCTATATAAATAAATGTTGAAATGTTCACAACATTGCTAAAGGAGGAAAAAAGAACAATACATGTATGTAAAAGCTTATTTATATTATATACACTCCACTGATTTAGCATTGCGCTCCTATGACATTTTGACTCACGATAGACAGTTAAAAGGGATTAAAAAAATGCAGCAGAAGTCTTTTTTTTATATTCCACATATTCTCCTTCCTTGTCAAAGCATGGCACCTATATTACCCACAATGCAACTCGACTGCTGATGACAGTTGGCCCCGGAGATTCAGGTGCGTTATGCTAGCAGCTGCTAATGTCGCCTCCAGTAGCCTTTAGTAGTATCCTGACCCACAAAGAGATAAGGAGTGGGCTACAGAGGTCTGGTAAACTGTAGGTCACATCCAGATTTATTTTCATTTTCACATGTACATCATGCAACATCTAGTCTTAAAAGGTTCAGGTGTAAGTTCTAGTGTCATCTACTGGTGAGGGTTGCAAATTGTAACAAATGGCTCATTGTGCATTCACTTGCTCTTTATACACTGAACAAAATTATAAATGCAACACACTTTGTTTTTGCTCCCAATCATCATGAGCTGAACTCAAAGATCTAAGACTTCCTGTATGTACACAAAAGGCCTATTTCTCTCAAATACTGTTCACAAATCTGTCAAAATCTGTGTTAGTGAGCACTTCTCCTTTGCCAAGATAATCCATCCACCTCACAGGTGTGGCATATCAAGATGCTGATCAGACAGCATGGCTATTGCAAAGGTGTGCCTTAGGCTGGCCACAATAAAGGGCCACCTCTCCAAAGTGCCAGACGCCATCGAATTTGAACATTTCCCCACTGAAGTCGGTTACAACGACGAACACTTTATGTTTAAAAGGTGGTGGGGACATAAGGGCTTAGATTAGGGTCGTGATGATGCACGAGAACACTAGAAGATTTTTAACACTATTTTGATGAAATATGAACTGCTGAAATATCGTAGAGGGGGTCTAAGGTCCTCCCCAAGAAAACTGGAGCATTAAACACTTAATATCCGGCATTCTGGAGATATTTTCCGCTCCAATTTACATTGGAAATGTCTTTATTTATATAAAGGGAAACAAAACATGCTTGTTTTTTTTAGCTTTGTTACTTTTATTGCAGAATGCACATTTGTTTCTTCTATATTTAAATTGTACTGCATGTTTTCTTATTGTGCAAATAAACCATTATCAAATCATTTTCATTTGTTAGTTAACATTTTTTGGTTCAGCCATTTCAAAAAGTGATGGGGACAAGTCCCTAGCAGTGTAAATGACACCTTAGTCTTTAGGTCTTTATACAGCATGGAAAACATAATAGGCTAATGTATATTACATTTCTGTCAATAGTTCCTCCTAAATATTGGGCTACACACTGAACCCTGACTCAAGTGACATCACACTGATCCCTCTTTATAAAGTTACAACTTTTTAAACTTGCAACTTTCTTTATACAGTCTGAGTAGTAGTTGGTAGTAGGCTTAATATCAATGGAGTCCCCATTTTTTTAACAATTCACATTAGGCCTATATTTAATGTGAATAAACGCCGCACTAAGTGATCCAGATCATCATTGATTAGGCCTACTAACCGGAGCTCATATTGTGTCCTCCTGTTTACCACAGTCGCGCTACAAATCAAATATCTTTTAAAATCTTTTACTTGTGACACTCAAAATGGTACAAATCCACAAAAACAAACAAAAAAACCCCAACAACTATAATTTATAGCACAGCTGCTGTGGGGGAGGCGAGCAGAAGACTCACACCTCCTCACTGGCGGATGCGCTTTTCTTTTGGTTCGGTTTCTACTCTCGTACTTTCTACTTCACCAGCCTCGCCGCTGTCAGGCAGGAACAAAGATATTTCGTTTCTGTAGCCTACCCGTTTCGTCTCTAATTAATATAGTCGACAACAATGGCGTTTTAGGGTAGCCTGTCTAAGTCGAAGATTGTTATACTTAATAACAAACCGTTTATGGAGTTTAAAGGCTTTGTTTTTTGAGGTCTTCAAAGGCGGCAGCCAGCATCCGCCCGTTGAAGATTGAGAAGACTGACAAGAAAGGTAATTAACTTCTTCTTTGTCTTAATACAACATCTTGTTGCTGAGGAACTTGGTGGTTACTCTTTTATTATAAGACTGAGGTGGGCAAAAATCTAAACTTGTTAAAATATTAAAACTTTAAAAACTTCTTACTCTCTGGTTTGGACAAAAAAGCTAATTAGGAACGTGTAAAACAGCGTTGTATTGTAAACTATGTGAAGTAAGAAGAGTTTTAACAGTTTCATCTGTTGCTGAGTTTGATCCTTATTTTTATTAATTCATTTTTGCTCTTAATTCAAACTAAGACTTCTTCTAGTGAGATCATTTAGAAAGTTGAATTGTGGAAAATACACTGATTAAATTGTCCCATCGTTATGGAGGTCTTTCCATCTATGACTGTGTGTTGGTGTGTGTGTGTCATGGCAGGTGGTTTTGAGGTTATGACTGGTACTTTTGACAAAACTGTGAATTTAATGCACCAGAGAATTCATAAGAAACTACTAACATATTTTGTTGATCCTAATAATAATAAAAAAAGAACTATTAAGATTTATATCTGTCACTATATTAAACAATAACACACAGTGACATCTTCATCCATTATCAGATGTTTGTTTATGAGGAAAAGGCAGAATCCGGACTGTTTATAAGGGAGATACGTTAGAGTAATTGAAGACAAACAGGTCATATGTATGAGATAATACAGCAAACCATGAATATGTCTTTAAAGAGCTTGTCAGGATCAAGCTGTGAATTCTGGGTCACACCCAAACACACGACTCTTTACTTCCGTATTCAATCACTATCAGGACTTTGTTATACATTTGATGCTTTATACGTTAACCTTTCTCTGTAAATATATGAAATCTGTTATAAAAACAAAAGTTGATGTCATCTGCCACATGTAGTACTCTAGCATTTAACTACTTCTTATATTGTTTAAGCAGGTATTTCTCATTTGTCATGCAAAACGTACTGTATTTCCATTGTGTGACTAGAGTCTCAACTGTCTGGAGAAACGTATAGTTTCAGTTTGAACAATTTGCCAAAGCACCTGCGTGTTTAACCATTGTGTCTTATTAAAGTAGGATGACTGAGTGATTACAGATACCTTATGTCCTCTCTCTTCCTCAGCAGATTTCCCTCCTTGGCTCTGAGATCTGTTTGTGCAGGATGGCGACCCTCAAGGTGATTAGAGGGAAGGACCGGAAGCTGACCATACTGCAGAGACTGAGCAGAGGTGAGACGAGCCGAGAGGGACTAAATAACTGAGACGTGATGTGATATGTGTATAAAGCTCACAGCTGGGAGAACTGCTGATTGTGCATACCTACTCTATGTGAGAGACGTTCAAGGACAGACATTACAGGTCAGTTCAACAAGCTGAATGACCACAGAAATCTTCAGGAATTGAGTTGCCTGAAGTCAGGGCTAAAAGTCACCTGCTATGAAAACTACCACCTCTACACGGAAGTACAGCACACATAGAGTGTTCAACGACTTTGACGACCTTGTGAACCCGGTGCCTCTCCAGATCGACAAGTAGACAGGAGATCGACCCCTGAGACTTTTTCCACAGAACCACAAACATTTAGAGAAGGGAGACTGTTAGAGGCAACCATGGACGGCCTCACAGAGATGTCGCTGAAATGCGTCCTGGTCGGGGACAGTGCCGTGGGCAAGACGGCCCTCCTGGTCCGCTTCACCTCAGAGACCTTCCCTGACACATACAAGCCCACAGTGTTTGAGAACACAGGAGTGGAGGTGTACATGGATGGGGTTCAGATCAGCCTGGGGCTGTGGGACACGGCGGGAAACGACAACTTTCGACAGATCAGACCGAGGTCCTACCAGCAGGCAGATGTCGTCCTTATCTGCTACTCTGTGGCCAACCCTAACTCTCTGGCCAGCATCCAGCATAAGTGGATCGCTGAGGTTCGAGAGAACTTGCCCAAGGTGCCAATTTTGGTTGTGGCCACCCAGACAGATCTGCGGGAGACAGGGGCGCACCGGGCCAGCTGCATCACAGCAGTGGAGGGGAGACGTGTGGCTCATGAAATCCACGCTAAAGGCTATCTGGAATGCTCCTCCTTAAGCAACCGTGGCGTGCAACAGGTGTTTGAGTATGCAGTGCGGACGGCCGTAAACCAGACCAGGAAGCAGGCCAGAAGACGGATGTTCAGCATAAACCAGTGCAAGGTCTTTTGACCCTTGACCTTGACTTGGTGGGCACTTGAACCCCTCTGTGATTACTTTTTCTATAATGCAACTTAGTGTGCTGTTCAAACTCTGATAAATAAACCCAAAGTTTATTTCTCTAAATACGTAGAGTACTTTTCACTAACGGGGTGTCCTGCCCCCCTACACTCAAACCATATTTAAAACTGAGAATACATTGATTTAGTCATGCATCATGAGGGTCTATGCAAATGTACACAAGTGTACAGTTCTACTTTTGTGTGATCCAGGTAGAGACGCGAAGAGTTAATCTGGATTCTTCTGATCTATTCTATGAGGGAACCACAGTATATTACATGGAGATATTTCAATTGGGGCTCTGGAGAGTATTTGTGCTTCAGAAATACTCCATCAAGAACATTTGATATGAAAGGCTTACTTACATTGAATCATTTAAAGCTTTAAAATTGGCACGGCATATTGTTTCAAAAAGAGGAAAGTATGTTCACATCACAGTTTGTGGTTGGATCAGCAAATTAACTTTTGAAATGCAGCGTAGACTAAACCTTTACTACCACAAAAAAATGACACATCCAGGTCATTTTTACAGTTGTGTTGAGCTTTTACAGTGTTAATTGCACATTTGTCAAAATCAATCATGGAAAAGTACATTGTTATGCTCCTGAAACATATAATGGTGAGTGCATGTTGGCATTTGTTAGCAATGATTTGAACTGTTCAGAATAAGAAATATGTCAGCTCAGAGAGGCCAATATGTGGATTTTTGCTGCATCGCTACATACAGCATA